GGCCTAGGTGACCCCGTCCTTTTGTCCTTGTGCGAGGGTCAGACTCGAGTGCCAGGCCCGATGGCCGAAAGGAAGTTCGCTTTGGTTTGATCACAGCCAGTCCTGTGCGAGCGCTTCGCTTCCTGCGTGTCACGCACAGCTCCGCGAGCATCCGCAGAGTTAGTTCATTCATTAACCCTCGTTAATGTTGCATCTCGAAAGGAGACGTCCTCTCCCTCCCTCCCCGCCGCGGCGGAGCCGATCTACCTGGCTTCCTGCGAAGCACGCGTGGAAGGATTTGGACCAATTTGCACACAGATGCGGGGGTTTTCTCAAAGTTGGAAGCAGGACACACTCTACGGTAGTCTGGAGAATGAAGCAGGAAGGTGTGAGCGCAGTGATTTTCCATTTCTGATTAAAAAAGAACGGAACATTGCAAATCTGTTCTGCAGCACACGCCCCCGCTCCAAGGGGGTGCTGAGGCCATCACTTAGCTTTCTAGTAGAGTCATTGTTGTATTTCTCAGCATTCCTCTTGGTCTGTAAGTCTGAAGGCTAAAACAATGCCATTCATAGCCGTATTTTCCAATTGCCTTGCATAGAGACATTCTAATATGTATTTGGATTTAATTATTATTTCTTCTGGTCAGCAGCAAAAACTGCCTTTCTTCCTTAATTCCTAGCATTAAAAAAAAAAAAAATCTCCCAATGCTACTGGCTTAGGTTTCCAAGACACCCAGTAAAGGTGAAGGTGAAGAAGACCTTTTGAATCCATGGTATTTGTTTCCACTAAGAAGCAAGAACTTTAGGATCAAAAAAAAAAAAAAAACAACAACAACAAGGAAATTGTAAAATGTTTCCTAAAGCATCAGATGAACTTTGCAAGCAGAATTTGTGATTTCACCAGCAATAAACTGACGTTTCAGACTGCTTAAAACCAAGATCCCAGCCCTATGACTCAGCAGCTAAATCAACAGCCAACATCTCTTAAATCGTCTCTACAGAAATCAGCTCTTACTTTCAGAGCAATTTTAGGGTGTGGCCCTTAACAGGCTCCAAAACAATCTTTTATTTTACCTTAAATGTGGTTAGAGAGAGAAACTGCTCTCTGGCCAGAAACAGTGATTCCTCGCAGGAAATCAAATGTGGAACATGATCACAGATAGCTGCTGTTGCAAGATTCTTGGGACCACAGCACAGAATCCTGAGCCAGCACTTGGACCTCAAATTGTAGCTCACATGTTAACGATTAATGATGCCCTCAGATCTTTTCCAAAATCCACAGGCTGCCAAATGCCCTCCTCGTCTCCATGGCTCCTGAGGCTTTGTGAGCAGGCCGTGCAGGGACGTTGACCTTGTTGCAGGCATTTAGTTGGTAGTCAGCACTGACGAATGTGCTTGTTGAGCAATTTCATTGAGTGGCATACCAATGGCACTCACCTTGCTGGTGGGCCGGGAGGGGAAATGAGTGCCCGAAGCTGTTGTCAGAAGACTCCACCTGGAGGCACTGGGTGTAGCACCCGGGAGACCATTGCAGCTGGACACTGAGGTTTCGAGAAGGTGAATTTGCAGTAGCCCGTGATCCACCGGTGGCTTGTGTCTCCCTGGTTGAACACTGCCTGTTGGCTGAAAGAGTGGCAGGTCCCCAGCCAGATAGGAAACTTCAGGGTTGCATACGTGGCCCAAAGGAGGTAAGAGATCAGAGGAGTTAGGAAGGCCTTCAGCGGATCTAGATCAGTGATGGCGAACCTATGACACGCGTGTCAGAGGTGACACGCGAACTCATTTTTTTGGTTGATTTTTCTTTGTTAAATAGCATTTAAATATATAAAATAAATATCAAAAATATAAGTCTTTGTTTTACTATGGTTGCAAATATCAAAAAATTTCTATATGTGACACGGCACCAGAGTTAAGTTAGGGTTTTTCAAAATGCTGACACGCCGAGCTCAAAAGGTTTGCCATCACTGCTTTGGATGGAC